TTCTAAAGAATGCTTTCAGCACCTTGTTGAATCAATGCCACGTAGAATTAAGGCAGTTCTGAAGGCGAAAGGGGGTCATACACCGTATTAGTATGGTGTTCCTAATAATCCTTTAGGTGAGTGTATATGGTTAAAAGTCCGTGGTTTGCTATGTCTCATTACAGTTATTTTCACCTTTTGTCCTTGCATATTGGTACGAATTAAGTTTTTGCTTTGTAAACATACTCCTTTTGGGAAAACACATGCTCCTTAAAGTAAAAGGTTTTTATTTATATTACATTCCATATTACAGCAGTATTGCAAAATTAATAAACACTAGTTTAAAAACCTAACTCACATCACCGTAAAAACAAAGCAGTAAGCCTGTACAAAATAAAACGTTGCTGGGTTGCACAAATAAATAAAAGTGAGGTTAGATAAGAAAATTAATGGGCTGTGTAATTGCATAGCTTAACGCTATTGAATAAATATTTGAGGAAACTCAAATATTTATGTAAAGTTTACTAGTGAAGAATTTTAGCCATCCTTCCATAATGATTTATACAGTATGGGGAGAAAGCAGGTCTGTAGCCTCTCTCTCTCACACACACACGCACGCACGCGCTCACACATTGCGTTTATATCTTTGCGGGGACCGTCCATTCGTTTTTATGGGCAAAACCCTCATCCCAACAATGACAACCTTAACCCCAACTCAGCCCCAACCTAAACCATAAGTAACCGAACAAAATACATGACTTTTGGCTATTTTAGCTTTTTGATTGTAGTCACTGATTATTATAAAATGACGTTTTCCATTGTGAGGATCAGAAAAAATATCCCCACAAGATCAAAATCACAGGATTTTTATCACATTGTTGGACATTGGGTCTCCCCCCCCCACCCTCCACACACACACTTACAATGGGCAATTTAAAGTCAAACATTCACCTAACATATACATGTCAACCTAGACGCAGTGAAAAAAGTGAAATGGGGTTTGAACACCCCACAACCCTCAAGTACAAGGCAACCGACCATGCTGCCCACTGCTGATAATAAAGTAAACGTGCGAGTGTCACACTGGGGCTCCACACTGTACACTGCGGCCACACTGAAACTTGCGGCCCCCATTTTTACATTTTTCTGAATGGGGGTGGGGATATAGATTCTGCCGGTCAGGAAAAAATTATCATTATTGATATTATTGTGTTTACAGTGGATTTTTATTTCATGCTTAAAATTGTTTTTAAAATATTCTGAAAATCATCTTCCAGCCCCCCAGTCAGTGTCTCGTGATCCCATCAGCGATTGGGGCCCCCACTTTAGGGACCCCTGTGTCAGACTGTAGTGCAAATAAAGGAACCAGAGACATATAAGTAACTTGGGAATTTTAAATTATTTTATTGCATTGCTATTCCTCAACGCTTCACGGCGCTTTTTGGCACGAGAAGTTCCACCCTTTAGTTTGTGGTCATCACCTGAGAAAAAGATAAATTAATTTTTTTAATTGGATTTGTTTTGTGATTTTCATTCATTGCAGAAAAACAAAATTGCCTAAATGTTCCATCCTAAGCTTGGGTGCACTTACGTTGTTGATCCAGCTGGTGTAGGCACTGACACGGGTGAAGACCGAGGGCTTCTTAGGGTAGTTGCATCCCAGGCTGGAGCCAAAACTGACAATACCTTGTACATCCCACTCGCCTTTGGAGTTCTGGCAGTTCAAGGGTCCACCAGAATCACCCTGAAGGACAGTATGATACCAGATAAGTCAGGGTCTGGAATAGTAGGACCAACCCAACAAAATCATTAATAATGTGCTTCATTTGGACTGACGGGTTGATGTGTTCTTCGTAAAGAACACTGCAGACCAGTGTAAAACAATTTAAACCTCATTCTAGTTTAAAAAGGTGGTGGAGAATTCCATGGATGTTTTTTTCAGACTTCAAATAAAAATAAAGAAGAAGCCTTACATTGCAGCTGGACTCCACTCCGTTCCCACCGGCACAGACCATGTTCTGGGTGACTAGGGTTCCCCACCAATCGGGCTTGGAGCAAGTGGCAAAGTCAACGACAGGGAGCAGGGCTTGCTGGAGGACGTCAGCGATGGGGCCATTGGCTGGGGACGTGCGAGCGCCAGGTTATCACTAACACTGCGACAGCTCAAAACAGCTTTCTACCATCTTTTTAACCTGATGATTCCCACTTGTCAGAGAACTCAATGACACTCGGTGACTTACTCCAGAGGCGACCCCAGCCGGTCACGTAACAGGGCGCCTGGTTAGGCAGTATGTATCCGGAGGCTGGGAGGCAGGCGGGCTGAATGGTGCTTGTGACGGCGACAGCCTGCTGCAGCTTGATTAGAGCGATATCGTTACTGTAAGAGTAAACAGGAAAATGGCAGTTTGACCCGTGGAGTTACATGAAGGGTGTTTGGTTTCTTCATCACAAAAGGAAACTAAATCACAACATTCAACAACAAGCTATTTCAGATCTATGAAGCCCTTTTTTCAGCTTTCCTCCCAAAACCACACACTTGGTTATATGCTGCATCCAAGGTTTATAGTTTTAAAAAATGTTCTTTATGTATCAGTCAACTACATAAAGGAGCATCAATCTGTCTCTACAGGGACAAACACGTTCAAGGCAAGACTCGTTTGAGTCTGTGGCAAGATGTTTTGATTGAGGAAAAAAACACTGCAGGCTATGTTTTTAAATACCATGTCTGTGGTATTGTTTTGATCAAAATATCTGTCAGAATTCACCATTATGCTGACCACTGAACGACATGGATCATGGCCAGGGGCACCGTAAAAAGGGGGAACAGTTAGGACAATTCCAAGGGCCCCTGAGCGACAGGGGCCCTAAAAAATGTGTAATATAATATGGTTGGTCTGGATCGGGGGCCTAATATGATATGCCTTCATGGGGCCCACGGTCTGTAGCGACACCCCTGGTCATGGCCAGTATTTAACCTGCAACCTTCTGGGTATCAGATATCCCAAATGATAATGAAGTGATAACAAAATGGTTCCATTTGAGTTTGAACTTTACCGAATCATCATAGGGTCCCACTTCTCATGCACAATGATCTTAGAAGGAGCGATGGCCACAGAGCCTGCCTCGTTGGTGACCTGCAGGTTCTCCTTTCCCAGATACACTCTGTAGGTATTCTTGTTGCTGCAGCAGCAATAAGGAAAACACACACATTGCTATCAAAACCATATTTGTCATTGAGTTATGCTACCCATCTCTGAAGACTGGAGTCAAATGAGAAAAAGGATGACATGAAGAACTTACTTGATGCAGTGAGCTGCTGTGAGGACCCATTGGCTGTCGATCAGGGTCCCACCACAGGTGTGGTGATAGGCCCCTGTGCTGCCCAAGTACTGCAGAGAGATCTGTTGCATTATGGGAAACAAATAGAGCGAGGCCATTACTCTCCACCACGGACCATGCCCAGAGGGCCAAAGTAGTACAGCTGGATGCAGAAGATATTGGAACTTGCCTGCCAAGGCCAGCTATGGGGTCTAGCATCTTCTCCACCAACCACCCTGGATAGGATGGGGGGGAACGTAGGTTTCCCACACCCGTAGGCTGCAAAACGAAAAACAAGTGCCATCAAAAACCATGGTGATACAAACATCCAAATGGCTGTAAATGCAAGCAGAATTTGTGCGTGAGTTTTTGCACGTATTCAGTATAAAATACAAATTAAATTTAAAAAGTTTTAAATATTAAATGTCACGTCCTGCTTACCACCAACAACAAAAAGAGCTAAAACCAGAATCTTCATGGCTGCCTCTGTGTGGAGTGAATGCAAACACACCTTTTATACTTTGATCCAAGGGATGAAAAAATGCACGGAAAATACTGTGTGAAATTTCCATGCGTCGGGAGTGAAAGTATAATCTATTTTGAATAACCTTGGCGATAAACACATTTTTATCATGTAGTAGATGGGAGGCATGTGAGAATTCAGCAGATGGATTGATTTCCCTTAAGTAGAGTTATACTAACTGGATACACATAATAGAAACACTGACATTACAGAGGAGCAAAATATAATTTTCTAATGTAATGTGCATCTACTACTTACTGAAATGGGCACAAAGAGAAGGGGCTTGTTGAAATGCCGACGTGATTTCAGACATCCAAACTTACCAGCATGGACTGTGGAAAGCATCTGAACAAGGAGAGGGGGACATTATGTCCACTTATATATTTGTTTTGAAAAAAACGACCTCCTACCAAACAAGTCGAAGCCTGCTCACCTCACAGTACAGATTTTTGATTCACAATATATATTGGGATTCAGCTGATGATGTAATATTAAATATACAGTCCAAAAATACAGCTGATTGGTGGGCCTGAAATCGCAGCTATATTGTTTGCCTTCCCTAAACGTGATGTTTTTCATTTAAGAATACACAGGCATAATTCAGGCTTTTATTAATACAGTTTAACTTTAAAATTATTTGTATGTTATTTTATGCTGATAGTTCATCACTGCATTCTTAACGATACTCCAAAAGTCACCAGGTCGGGTCCCAGTGGCTGCCTGCTTCCGGGGGCTATGATTACCATCACAGACAGGAAGTCGGGGCTGACCGCACTTCCAGATACTGAACTGCTATTAAATTATTCATAAAAGTTCAATTTTTTCGATCTTCATATATACACGCATTTGTGAAGCTTAGTGTCAATCCCTCTTCAGGGGGGCTGCGTGTGGCTCAGTGGACTAGGCCTCTGTGCCTCTCATCAGCAACTCATTGGTTCAAATCCCATCCTCAGCAGGACAGTCACATCTCTCCTTGAACAAGGCACTTAAACCCCACCCCAGCCCAAATAAATGGTTTCCCTAAGCTTGGACACCAAGCTTCACATAGATGAGTTCATTAACATTTCCCAGCATGCTTCATGGGTTTTATAAATAGCCCTTGTATGTGTTTGCATAAATACTTGTGCTCCAATTGCCATGTGCCCTCAGTTGTGTCATGCGTGAGCTTTGTCTCATCCTTACGCATCTTTAGCCATCGTATAAATTACCCACCAGCTGTACACCATACTGTACAGTATCAGATCTCCCTAGCTTTCCCTGTTAGGTGTGTTGGTGCTTTTAAGGGCTTTAATAAAAGAATTTTATTTTATTTTATTTAATAAAAGAACTTTATTCTGCTCCTCATCTCTTTGCTGCCACCGTGATGCATGTCGGTGTGTGTGTGTGTTTGTCTGCATGTGTGTGTGTCTGTGTGTGTCTGTGTGTGTGTCTGTGTCTCAAAGGACAGCAATACCATATATGAAAAGAAACATTCCAATGTACTCACAAATAAAGTATCATTTAATTTTTCAAGCTATTTTTATATATATAGTGCTTTTTGTAAATGGCTTTACAGCATGGATTGGTAAGATTCTAACTTACAATATTCTCCTTAAATAGATCATCCTTCCATTTTTAATAACTGTTGCAGTGGGCATGAACAGCCTGGGTTGGCACGAACAGCCTGGGTTGGCACGAACAGCCTGGGTTGGCACGAACATTCTGGGTGGGCATGAACAGCCTGGTTGCCAGTCCATTGCAGGACAGACACTCACAAGCTATGGGCAATTGAGCGACACCAGTTTACCCAAACGTGTCTTTGGATTGCAGGAGGAAAACCCCTGTGAACATGCAGTGTTTCACTGGACGAAGATACTAAATTCAATGGTGGGAAATTTTAAGTCCAAATCATGTGGAACACAGCATTTGTGCCGATTAGTTAATATGTTGAGGGATACGCCATTAAGGTTACGGCTAAAGATAAAGACTCGCACCAAAAAAAACTGTTGACGCAATCCTTCTGGGGAAATGATTAATCTGTCCCCAAAACCGTTCCAGAAATATATAAGTCCACGCGCCACTGAGAAAAAGTGAAGAGGCAAAAATGATGAAGTTTGTGGTCTTGGCTGTTTTTGTTGCTGGAGGTAAGTCTGTCAAGTGAATTTTCAATTTTCTCAGAATATGAGTAAGTTATTTGAGTTGCTCTTATATGATTTATCATAAAAATGCTTTCAAACAGTGAAATCATATGAAATATTTTACTTAACTAATTAATTGCTTTTTGAATAGGAAAGGGTAAGTTTTATCTACCATTCATTCAAAATATATTCAGACATTCTTTCCGGAGTGCTTTGGTTTATAAGGTGTGCTTTTTGAGTGATACTTTAGTATCTAACATTAAAATGATGCGCTGCACTTACTGGTTTTGTGTCAATGTTCATGCTCGTGCTGTTGAATGTAGGCATCACATGCACTGTCCTGTAAACTGCATGCACGAATAAATGCAGCATGTCATGTAGAAACAGCTGTTCAGCCTTCATGAACAAGACACCAGACATTAACAGTGTGCATTTGCTCCCCCACCAAAAGCCTATGGGTGTGGCCTGCCCACTTTCCCCCCCATTCTGACAAGAGTGGTCGGTGGGGAGGACGCAAGACCCCACAGCTGGCCCTGGCAGGTAAGAGCAGGGTGGCGCCCCCTATCTGTCAGGCAGTATAGCGCGCTTGTTATCACACCCACCATGCGCATGTTTATAACATAATGGCTGTCCGCAGATCTCACTTCAGTACCTCAACAACGGTGAATGGCGCCACACCTGTGGTGGAACTTTGATCTCCAGTGAGTGGGTCCTCACTGCGGCTCACTGCATCAAGTAAGGCATCGTCCGGAGGCTGACCCTTTCCAGTAGAGAGATGTACAGTGTGTAAAGGCCACCTAGTGGTACCGAGGGGAACTACCCCCATGGCTGTGGGCAGTCAAGACGAGGGAAAACAACAGACACAAAAATCTATGCTATTTTTTTCACTTAATCATTTTTTTCTTTTTCTTTTTTAAACACAGACCTACACCAAAAATAATTTTTTAATTAAGTAATACATATTTTAAAATGTTTCTGGGATGAAGGTCAGCTTCATGCAGAGAAGCAAGAACCTTAAAGAACTGTAAACGAGAGATATCTTTTATAGTGATGTCAATTTGTTATAAAACTGTGGGCCAATTAACCAATTATTAACTGTGGGCTGATCATGTTCACAGGGCATGTAAAATGTTGTTTTTTTTTTTGGAATGTTAAACAAGTGTTGAATTTTGGGGTGACTTCCCTCAAGAAGCCATAGGTCATGTGATGCTTGTGTCATCCCACAGCAACCGCAACACCTACAGAGTGGCACTGGGGAAGCAGAACCTGGTGGAGGAGGAGCCTGGCTCTGTCAACATTGCCGCCGGCAAGATCGTTGTTAATGAGAAGTGGAACCCCCTGTTCATCCGGTGCGTGGGACTGAATTGAAAATCCATAAAAAGATGACAGCACCTCTCCAGCCCAATGCGGCACCTTTAACCCCCTGTGCTATGAGCAGGAATGACATCGCCCTGGTGAAGCTGGAAACTCCCGTGACCTTCACAGACGACATCAAGCCTGCCTGTCTTCCTGAGGCTGACGGCATCCTTCCCAACGAGACACCTTGTTACATCACTGGATGGGGTCGCCTCTACAGTAAGGCCGCTGCCCTGTCTGTCCAACATCTATTACTGCAGCAAAGTCAAACAGCCATCTAAACTGCTCCAATAATTATATGAAAGGAGCTAAGACAGTAATTTTTACATAGCTGACAAACATCTGCCTTAGGTTTCAGTATTTTCACTCTGCAGGTTAGCAGCAGCACCTAGTGATGGGCAAACGAAGCTTCATGAACCATTTGCTGTATTTTCTGACACCACTAGATGGCGATCTCTGTTAAAAAAAAGACTGAAGTCATGCACCAAGCTGGGCAGTCCAGCTTCATTTGGCCATTACTGGCAGCACCTCTTAACACTCTGTGGTCCCTTGATTTCCATTCTAGCTGGGGGCCCCATCGCTGACATCCTTCAGCAGGCTCTGCTCCCCGTCGTCAGCTACGAAATCTGTTCCCAGCCTGACTGGTGGGGTTCCCAGGTGACGAACAACATGGTGTGTGCCGGCGGAGACGGCGTCGTGTCTGGCTGCAACGTGAGTATGAGCACCGGCACTTCCTGTAACAAAAGCGTGGTCCCTTCTTGGAACCAGGTCCGATTTTATTACATCATGCTGAGTCTTAGTGGCTTCTGACCTCATGGTGAATCTTGGTGGCTTCTGACCTCATGGTGTGACCCCCAATCAGGGAGACTCTGGTGGCCCCCTGAACTGTCGCAGCGCTGACGGCTCCTGGGCAGTCCACGGCATCGTCAGCTTTGGCTCTGGCCTCAGCTGCAACTACCCAAAGAAGCCCACAGTCTTCACCCGAGTCAGTGCCTACATTGACTGGATGAACACGGTGAGTAGCGGCACGCCCCCCTAAGCCCCCCCTCCCAGCACCACAGGTGCAGTAATGAAGCCCCACTTCTTGTCCACAGTCCATGATGAACAACTAGGAAGATCCGAAGAATTAAAGCAAGATTCCCTGTTAATGTACCGGCATCTGTCTCTGATAAACTGACTAACTAAATAAACGGTCATATCCTTGTTGAAAAAAAATGTAAACATTCTTGCAGCATAAAATAAAATTCCAAAAAGATCATATAAACGTGAAAATACACTGTTTGGACATATTGCATGCAAATACAGTGATTGTGTGGGATTCAGCAAACACAGCTACACAACACGAAACACTTGGGCGATTAGATCGCCAGTGGATTGTACTACAGACATGGACAAACGGCCACTAAAGCATCCTGGATGCGTCCGACAAGGACATTACAATAACTATGTGTGAGTCAGTAACGACATATGAACAGAAATGTGTTAATGCCAATGAGTCTTGGCTGTCTACTTGTGATCTGATTGTCCAAGATTCAGTGTAACCAGGGCCTTTGACTTAAGAACATAAGACATTTACAAATGAGAGGAGGCCATTCGGCCCATCAAGCTCATTTAGGGAGAACTTAACTAATAGCTCTGAGTTGTTAAAATCTTATCTAGCTCTGATTTAAAGGAACTCAGGGTTTTGCGCTACACTAACAGGAAGACTATTCCATACTCTAACTACACGCTGTGTAAAGAAGTACTTCCTCAAATTCATTTTAAAATGTTCTCTTGCTAATTTCCACTTATGGCCACGAGTTCTAGTATTTAAACTAATATTAAAGTAGCCATTTGGCTGAACAGCACCCAAACCTGTTAGAATTTTATATACCTGGATCATGTCCCCCCTTAGTCTCCTTTGCTCGAGGCTGAACAGATTAAGCTCAGCTAACCTCTCCTCATAAGGTAAAGGGTGCCAGGTGAATGCGGTAATTATCTGTTCTGGATAAACTGTAATTTTTACTTAGCTGGTTATAGTCCATGGTAGCACTGATCAAAGTTCCATGAACATTCAATCCCCACTAAACTGCCAATGACGTCTCAGTGACTGTGTCACAATAGCCACATTGTATAGTGATCAGGGTTACCCATCGTGCTCAGGAGACAAACGGGCAATGAATGACTCCGGGTTTAAAAGGCTGGAAAAGCCGTTAGAATCATGAATAATACTTTTGTATCACTAGATGGCAATGAACTTGTAAATCCTCAGGGAAAGGCATGGAAACGTGCCGCACGGGTGTCACACTGCGTGACGTGCCACATGGGTGTTACATTGGCCTATGAGAAAGTGTCACTCAGTACGTTTACATGCACAGCGAAGTCGAGCTGCAGTTGGTTACAGCTTGACCACGCCTGTGTTACCTCTGCAGGAACGTGTGCATATCAGCACCAGAGGCAAGGAAAAAATGGAGGTAATCAGAAAGATACATGAACCTAATGCAAAACAACACACAGTTTGGGGGATTAACACATTTTCCCGGAAAAATGTAACATTCCCATGTCACTTTAGCCCAAGCGATGCTCACTGCGCAGCCAAATAATTCTCATTTACTGGCCACTTTACTTGCTCACTTCACATTTCAACACACGCTCTACTGCTCACTTCTCCTTTGGCTTTGTTCTCAATGTCTCCCTTATTTTTTTAAGTTTCAAATAAAAGTGACTGAAAATGTAACACAATAAAATGCATGAATGTTAGGGGGGAGGGGGGGGGCATGCAGCTCAGTGGGCTAAGCCTCTGTGCCTGTAACCAGAAGCTTGCTGGTTCAAGCCCAGCCTCAGCACATCTGCAGGTCCTTGAGCAAGGCCCTTAATCTTAGTATCTAGAAACACATAAGACCTCAAAATTTACAAAAACATCAGACTGGAAAATTGCCTTCTGCTGAGGGACTGACTTGAACCATTTCAGATATCACTTTATAGGCAGGAAATCACTTAAATACCTTCCATACATGTCGGCGTATAGCTGACACTGGCTGGGGCTCAAGAAATGAAGCAGAACAGAAAAGCCAAGAAAGTTTGCTGGACCCTGTTCAGTCTGGCTGTGTCGCAATACCTCCGGCACTTTCTGTGCAACCTCCTGATGTTTCTACTAGGAACAACAGCAGGAAACAAAACTACTGATAAGGTATTTATGGGGCTTGGATGCCTTCCATTATCACTAAAGGGCAGTAAATCACAGCATAGTGTAAAGCATCAGGCAGCATTTAGAATGATGGCCATTCCGGGAAAACAATGAAACGGCTTATTAAGCAGTAAGGTACAGTAAGGGGAAATAAAACTTTGCTTTACAATCAGTTGAAGTGGTAGTAAGAACATAAGAAATTTACAAACGAGAGGAGGCCATTCGGCCCATCAAGCTCATTTGGGGAGAACTTAACTAATAGCTCAGAGTTGTTAAAATCTTATCTAGCTCTGATTTAAAGGAACCCAGAAATTTAGCTTGTGCTACACTAGCAGGAAGGCTGATCTCCCACCCAAAGTTTGGAAACAAAAAAAAAAAAGAGTGGAAAGTGTTCTGCATTTAGAAAAACAATAACTTCAATCTGAAGTTCTTCCTTGTCACGTTGCAAAACAACTCTGGCCTCCAGAGCTTTGCAAACGTAATATAAATTAAAATTTAAAAATAAATTAAAAATCAATCCAATGTGTTTTGAAAAATGTGCATATTTAAAAGGATGAACAAAAAAGAAACACAATTGGGAAGCTGCAGAATCTATTTTCAAAAAGCACATTTATTTTTCACTTTCAAAAAAAAAATGCTGGAATAAATACAATCAGTTATAAAAGCGATTTACGCTACAAAAAACCAATTCTAATACATAACCTCATTTAAAAAAATACTCATGCTAAAAAAACACAGCCACAGTGTGGGCCTGTTTTCAACAGTAGCATAAAAACATTTCCAAGTGGACATCGGTTTACAAAATTCATGTCGCCACGTTCAACAGAAACAGTTTCTTCTTGTAATATAAACAGAAGCTTGAGAAGGAAAGGTCATCCTTTATCGCACAGCTAGATAAACACGGTGCTTATGATCTTTACAGAGATCTCTGCAAAGGATTCAACATGGTGCTCGCATACAAAAGGTCAACTGGTCAGGAATGGGTGAATTGAAATGTTTCTTTTTTATTTAAATCTGGCCACAAGTGAACACCTCATTCCTTTATGTACAGTTTCCCTACGATTCAAAACGCAAGTCAGGAGTGATACAGAACAGGCGTTTCACCAGCTATTAATGTCAGACAGACAGACAGACAGACAGACAGACACACACACACACAGAGGAGTTTGAACAGACACATTCATCCGGGGAGAGTAGAGCTTGAAGCACCGGAGGTAACAGTGGATTGTGTTTAACTTTTATTTTCATTTCTTAACTGGACCACATATTACCTTCAAGGAACTGCATGCATGGGCAGATAAGTCTAGGAGTTGGGGGATCATGACAGGAATCAGGAGATTATCCAGCAGCCGGACATCCAACCCCTGACCCAGGAAACAGTCGGTTTAGGGCAGTGGATTCTGCTTCAGGGGCTGCACTGGCTGTCACTGCACCTCAGCTCTTAACTGCTGTACTGAAGTTGTAAGGCGTCCAAGTTCTGGTGCTCCAGATGCAAGAACATGGAGACACTGAGGAAGATTGGGGGGGGGGGGGTGGATTTACGACTATTTTAGACATCGCTCAGGGATAACAAATCCTGAAGCATCTGGCCTTTTGACGAGTGCTTGATTTTAACAGGACAAATGAAGCAGCCCCCACTACAGACTGGGAGGCCGTTGAAAGCCTGTGCTCCTCCAGGGGGCCCCATAGGCCAGTAAGGAGAGTGTCTCATTTATGCTGGAACTGCATTTATTACTGCACCTTATAGAGTATGGATGCCAGATTAAGATTTACTTGTCAGTTACTCTGGCATTCTGGAATGGCAAGGCACTTAATTTGGAAATGTAAAACAAATCTGCTTCTCTCCTTGGCTGAAAGAGATCCCCAAAGTGTCACTCCAAATATTGTGCAACAAAGTTAGTGTCACGCCCTGCCTAGCGACTGAAATACAGAAGGTAGACTTTAAAAAGGAGGCGTCATTAACAGAAAATGTTGCATGAATACAACACAAGGACTAATGTTTGAAGTCGCTACAGGCAGCAGCGAGTAGCGGATTGGCTGCGAGCGAGTCATAATCACAAGTGCCTCGTGGGACATGCAGCCGACAAAAACCGGCACCGGACAACACAGCTGAAGGGGGGGGGGGTGGTCCTGAAGGAAAATAATGAGAAGCAGGAGGAGGCCTTTGGCCCACACAAAGGGGGACCGTGAAGACCAAAGCCAGCACATTTTTCACGAGGACAGGAAGGAAGGCAGTGGCTCACCGTCCATCATCCTTTGAAATTAAGAGCTTAAGCATGAAGAAGACCCCTCCCCAAACACAAAGTGCGCAGTCCATTCTTCACGTCAACCACGTAACCACTCTGAATCACAGTTTCCTTCTTAATCAGACATTTTCTCTGGAAAACTCTTTCCATACAAGCTTAAGGAAAAAACTAGCATATTTACAAACCTTTGCTCAGCATATTAACCCTGTCACACACATGCATGCTCACACACACACACCTTATTTTCTCTGAGGACGAGAATACAGTGATTTCTAGACTTAAATGAAAGTACCCATTTAAGTGCATCCATAAATGTATTTCATATTGTACGACGAGTAAAATGATTCAAACGAATCCCTTCTGTTTCAGCCACAGAGCTGCATTTCCCTCCCATTACACTCTTCAAAGTAAAACACTCAATATGCAAACTTTTGTTTGTATGGGGGGGGTGGTGGTGCTCTCTTAGAGCAACTAGACGGCCGACCAGAGCTGCACCATCCCCTGAGGCTGAGAATAAATATGCCACTTTATTTCCTCTAACATTATGTACACTTCATCCAGGACATTACACACAGTCAACTACATCTTCAGTGGGAAAGGGTGAGTTTCACAGGGGAAGTAAGAAGCAAGCCCACGGCACAAAGGCACACCGTGGAGTCCAGTCATCTTCTCGCAGGAGGAGGTGACAGAAAGGTGCGACCTGCCATGGGCAACCAGTCACATTCAACACCTGAGCACAGCCCCGAGAATGAAGGCGGCAGGTGGAGGAGGCTTGCAAGCAGGGGTAAAGGGGGCGGGGCCTGCTGGGTAAAGGGGGCAGGGCCTGCTGGGTAAAGGGGGCGGGGTCTGTGATGGAGTAGTGAAGGGGCGGGGCCCTGCTGGTAAAAGAGGCGGGGCCTGGCATTGATGAGAGATGCCGTCCAGGTGATCGAGCACTTGAGTCCTTCAGAGCTCGGGGAGCTTTTCCTCATACTGCGGAGGGGGGGTGAGCGGTTCGATGGTCAGAGGACCAGCCTGCAGGGGAGGGTGTTCCAGATGCAGCTTTTCAGACTTGATCCGGCGCACCTTGAGGGGGAGGAGCTTGCGTCCGGTCCGGCTGTGCTGCCGTCCCACCTGGCTGGTAGGAGCCGAATCCGGCAAAGGACCGTGACCGTCGGTGGAATTGTCCTCGGGGCCCCAGTCCTCCCGGGAGTCCACCAGGTCGTCATAGGACGGTAGCTGGGAGGCGCTGTGACGCAGGTTGCTCTGCCGCACCGGGTACTGGCCGCTGCCCACTGCCTCTTCGTAGCTCGGCACGTCATAGCTGGCAGCCAGCTCCCTCGCCCTGCGTGCAGTGACATCATCATTTAAACAAAGCGGCCCCACAAAACCATCACAAGCTACAGAAAAACTTTGAGAAAAGAAGCCTTTGTCCTCCGTGCACATTGGCTGAGCTCCTATCAGACTCCTGCAGATTTACAGATTTCACACTCTCAGTGCGAATGTGTCAGGGAAGCCCCACAGCAATGCGGGGACACACTTCACGAGTCACATACAGTTCCGTCAGCGGCCACAGCTCACTAGCAGTGAAACTGTGCCCTGTGGCCCCCCCCAAGGGGGCTGTGCACGAGGCTGCAGACACACCCAGACACACCATAAAAGGGCAGGTAGCTATTCCCACAGGTGAAACAGAGGAACTGCACAAGAACAAACAAACAAAGGCGTGAGTGTTATGCCTCTCTATTCCACCCCCCCGCCCCCACCCCTGTGATGCTTCTCTTAATCCGATTTCGAAATAACAGAAACAGCTGATGAAGGTAAAACCAGGTCATTTTAAAACAGGAGCCGTAGCAACGCTATCTGTGTACCATGTTCCAATGTCCCATCCAGGTCATCTCTGCCCCCCCCCCTCTTACAAGCAGGCCGTAAACTGCCCCATCATCAGCGATCAGAGGCCCTTAGTGGGTGTGGTGGTAGGGGGGTGGTAACAGGTTTTATAGAACACATTGCCTCCCCACCAAGGGACATACTTGTCAAGCCAAATTTATACTCATTTATGGTCAAAGAACAAACAGCAAACCCCTTTGTTTCATTCTTTAAAAATAGTCTAAAATGTAATTGCAAAGAGCTGAACACTCACACGGAGGCGCTGTTGCCCTGCTCCACAGCACTGATGTGATCCTGGAACTGTGGCTCCGGGGTCTGGCCCTCCCACTGCTGCCGGTGCTGCTTGTTGCGCACGCCCAGGCAGAAGGACAGCATGAGCATGCCCACGCCGCCGCCCGCCAGGATGAAGGCCACCGACGAGGTGCGGCCCTTGGCCTCCAGGCCGCCCCCTCCTGGCCGGCTGCTGTTACGCGTGGCTTCGGAGGGCACCATGCTCCACGCGATCATGACCACGCCCAGGGCAATAAGCCCCACGCCCAAGGCGCACAGGGCATACTGGGACCCCGAGCTGCTGCCCCCCGTGCTGGGCGAGGGGCTGGGCGAGGGCCGGCCGCTGAAGCACATGTGCAGCGCTGGGACGTGCCCGCTGGGCTCTGACGGTCCGCGTCCGACCCGCGAGCCAGAACGGCAGCCTGCAGGGGGGGCAGAAGGGTGACGCCGCGGCTGAAAGACCAGCATCAGCGAATGTACAACCGCGTGATTAAGAGGCTGAACACTGGATCAGCTTATAGCAATGACAGAATCTCAAAACTGCATTTAACAGACAACTGCTCTACAGACAGCTTAGCGACATGATGAATCACTTGTCACTCCCCAAAAGCACACAAACATCAAATGACTAGACTGCAAAAGACAGCTAGACTCAAAATGAACGCAAAGGCTGGCACTGAGAAAGAAAATGGTGGAACCTTTTACAAAAAAAATAAATAAAATGCATTGGGGAATGAATCTGATTCAAAGAAACCAGGGTTAAAGTGCCCTGCCGTCCTTAAGAGGAGAGATCCGTCTTTACCAGCCCAAGGCTTTAATAATCAATATGTGATAAAGGGTGGTTTTCTTCCTTAGAAATTCACTTCCTTAGAAATACGTTTCTTCTTTCCATCAGGAATGCAAGAGGCTCCCGTTGGCACGGCAACAAGCCAAGGGAGCCAGGATTTGCTGAATGCGGCGTTTCATTTGTCCCCTGGCGACACGGCAGCTGGAGGGAAGCAACAGCACCTGCGTGGAGGGGGGGGGGGGGGGGGAGACCCCCACCAGCCGTCTGGGCTCTCAGGGGCCACGTCCTCCCTGCTGCGGGGCCTGGGCACACACACCAGTCAAAGCTGGCTACTCAGCCCCCAGACTCCCAAACCGCCAAGAGAAGACTGGCAGTTCAGCCACACCCAAAACAAGGGAGAGAAGGTCCCAGCCGATCAAACATCAAGAGACTAGATACAAACTGCGACTGCATACAGGATTAGGCTGAAATAATCAAAAACTCCTTTTATTTCCTTCAAGAGCAGGGATATAAAAAGCAACCTTAATATGACCTGAAAGTTCAAGACACCAGCTCTAGCATCTACGTAGTAATTACAGAATCTACTACATTCTACAAGCGAATTCATACTTACAAAAGCCTAAACTGAAAGGAAAGACTAAACCCTAGAAGCAGAAGATTAAGTAATTTTGAAAATTGTGCCCTTCGGGTTTCTGCAGCAAACCCAGCCTAAGCAGACAAAAGGCATTAGTAGGACAGGCCTCTTCAAGCCCCCGCCCTGACTAGCCCCCGCCCTGACTAACGCGGCAGGCATCGCTGGTGAAGAGCCAACGTTGGCTTCTCAGGAACCCTTCAATCGGCCGAGGACGCAAGCAGCAATCAAGCAGCGAGGGGGAGAACCTGACTCACCCGTGCCGACCGCAGAAGAACGAGCACAGGTAAGCCGGCGGGAGGGGAGGGAGGGCCAGGGACTGTCCCCGAGGACACGGGGGTGGGGGTGCTCAGGGGTTTGGCTGGGGGGTTACACAATGCGGCGACTGCAACAGAACCTACTTCAAGACGTGGCGTGCAAAGCATCGCCCAACCGCACCAGACACGTGCTCACTGTTCGCTTATTTGTTCATGTCATTTTTGTGGGAGAAAAGATCTGCCCTAAAGAGGCGAACTGGAGTGTCTACATAGAAACAGGTCTGCACACAGATCCATACCTACATACTTATCACAGGATGCGGGCATCACTTTGAGCAAGTCGGGTAACTGGGAAGGATGAATTCAGCCAAAAGCAGGAAGAGGGATGAATTTGTGAGTCACCCTGATGCAGGATCAATTTCAGCACTGCGTTCCTGAGACTCATACTCGGGCGTAACAACCATAAAAACCCCGGGACGTTTTGGCTTACTCTGAGTATTAAAAATACTGGCAGAATACCAGCAAAAAACTGATCAGAGACAGTGGGGTGGACTGGGGTGCCAGACACCTCATTATTAACTACACAAAAAACAGGAAGTGCTCCAAGTCTGGGTGGTTGCTCCGGGGCGGGGGGAGTCGGGGAGTGGCTATGGTGAACCAGTGAGCCTTTCACAGCCAGTCGTCTTCAGGAGAAACTCCTGTCAGGGAGTAACAGCCGGATCCTTCTTAGCTCCTCTCCTCCTCAGAGTCACACGCTTAAGCGCAGCCTGAGGCCCTCGGATGGCCGGGGCTCGATCTGAAGAACGCGGCACACCGTCGGCTGCCAGCGCGGTGCCGACACGCCTGAGGCTGTTACCTTACGCCACGTTAATTAAGCTGATTGGTGAGTTAACGAGAACAGCCTCCGACAGAAGCTAAGTTCTAAAGAAAACTCGGGCCATCCATTTTGTTAGTTATGAAATGGTTACATCCAAAAAGAAAAACTGTAGATGACTAGACATCAGGCCTCCTGAGGTACAGAAATGGTCCTGGACCAAATTAAAACAGGGCTACTTCTACCTGCATGTCACTTTACATTACCATACAGCGGACCTCAGGCAGGAATGAGCATTAGTGAGACCACACCCCAGCAAAGCTCATAAGCTAACAAGAATGCTACATAAGATCTGCCTCTCATAGTCCGTGAGCCCCCCCCCCCCCCGCAGTTTGGCAGGAAATACCCGTCATCCGCGGGCTGATGGACACTCCACCCCATCCTCAAATAACGCTTCTCTGTCCCTGGGATCTGCAAAATAAGTCTTGCATCTCCTTCAAATTTAATCACGTTATTCAAGGAGCTTCTTGCGGCACAACAACAATTGCATCCAAAGTAGAGCCTGATAGGATTAGTATTCTAAATTAATTGCAAATATTTCCAATTCACAAAGGCATCTGAGCAATGCCCACAACTCAGACATATGAAACCACACAAGACCACGTCTCCCGTTTCATAGTGTGTCGTGAGAGACCTCAGGCAGCTCACGAATCTGACTACAAACATGCTACTGTGGCAAACATTCCCAAAATTATGCCATTAGATTTCCTCGACACTATACCAGTTTTATCAGTCTTCAGGAAGCAGATTCCACTTTTAAAACTGTAAAGAAAATCTATTAAGAATAAATAACTTCATGTGCCATTAATGAGCACCAATGAACACATTCTGGAGCAGCGTTTCCCAGGTCACATTTTCGCTCCCTGCCAGCTCACATTTTCGCTTCCAGTTAGCTCACATTTTCGCTCCCTGCCAGCTCACATTTTCGCTCCCTGCCAGCTCACATTTTCGCTCCCTGCCAGCTCCCAACACAGGTGAATGGTGTTCTTCTTTGTTTGGTTCCGGTGTGCCAAAACGGGAACTATTTTGATTGTTCCCATAATGAAAACTGCAATACTCCTTTGGTTTTCCCCTAATGTCCGCTTCCGTTTCTGTCCACCCCTCAAAGTGGAAGAGCGTCTGTCAGTGTTACAGCCCAGGGCCACCTGTTTCCATAAGGGTTTGTTGTTGTTGTTTTTTTTTTGTTCTAAATCAGATCGCTCACGCCTTCAAAAAGATCAGTGTCATTAAGTTGAATTTTTAACTGATTGTTCGACACTGAGCTGCCAACTGAAGTAGTGGGATGATCCTAATCACACCAAGAACTGTTAAATGAAGTATATTTTAGCATAACAACATGAAGCGGGTAATGAAACATTTTCTGTCCATATTCCAACATACCTAACCTAAGCAGGGTCATGGGAAATAGGAAGTTCTACCCCTGAAAATTGCCACAGCCATATCTGTGATTTAAATTATGCTTCTTTATTTGATATATTTGTCAAATAAATGCTAAATGAGTAGGGGAACTGACAGGTCCAGGCCGGAGAACAATAAAAGCGGCCTCAACGATCTATTTTGCTCACCAACTCAAACACGCAGTGGCTGCCAATTAATTAAGAGCTTAAGTAGAAATCAATGTCCACACAAGACTGCCAGAAGTTTACATGTAAGGGGGGGGGGGCTCAATTAACTGATAAATCAATTATAAACATTTCACAGATACAGCTGATGGGGCTAGTTATAGGGGCTAGGATGAGACTGTAGCCAAATCATTATTTCTAGTTATTTTATACTGATATACGGAATTCTGAGGTTCCAGTACATGTCTTGCCATGACTCTGAAAATGTATTCCTGGGGTCTGATGGTAGAAGGAGCTGGCAGAGACGCAAAAATGTTATTACCTAACCAAGGTATGACTGCACGTGTCTGAACAAAGAGGGACACAGAGCTATGGAGGACGCCGTGCGCCCTGTTCAGCTGAAGCGGAACTTATCCGCAGTAATGTGTGTGGAATCAGCAGAGGTGGAAAATTCAGGTCCAGACCAAGGTTTTGTTTCAACCAACCAGCTGAGTACTCTGGGACTGTGGCTCTTTGAGCTCAACTAGCTGGTTGAAACAAAACCTTGGTCTGGATTTGTACTTTCTGGACTTGAACTTTCCACCTCTGGGAATCAGCTCCAGACACGCGGCCTCGTCAGTACCCTGTGAACTGGTTACAGTTGCGTACTGTGCAACCAGTGAGTTATTGTGTTGCGTTTTAAAGCAGTCAGGGGAATAATTCTGCATAAAAAGTACACAGATACAGATAAATTAGATAACATTCTGCCCCTATTACTCATGACTGCTGTACGCCAGGTGAACCCAAAATAACACAAGACCTTGGTATAGCCTTGACTATTTTCGGATCTGTAACGAGTACGACTTAATGGTTATATTCATTATTCACTCACTCATTTTCTATACCTGCTTGTCATACACAGGGTCGCGGGGGTCCTGAGCCTATCCGAGGAGCAACAGGTGCAAGGCAAGGAATAACTCAGGACAGGGAGCCAGCCCAGTCATTATATTATGTTATATATAGTTAAATTCGATTATATAAAAACGTGTTACACACGTATGCCATTCTCTAATAAATACGACTCCTTGTTGAGTGACTACCTGGGTTAGCATCCATTTGCAAATATGGCCATAATAGAATTCATTTTCCGAGGAATGTGCACATTTACAGCCAAATTTTGCGCGACTGTCAACAATGCAGTGTGAGATACTTGAAGAAGAATGTACAGAACGTCGTTAAAGTTCTACTTCACGAAGGATCAAAGTAATGGAGTCTGGAAGGTAAAGTCGTAAGTACAGTGGCGTCACACCTAGGCTACTGTGATTTTCACTTGGAGACCATTTGAGTTAACGACCAGGTAGTCGGAATGGGTCACTAAACGAGGACGAGGACTGGTTGGAGTCTCATCGGCCGGCCAGAATGTGGGGGAAAATGAATGACTAACCTCAATATACTTTGCATTGTCAGCGTGTATACTGTCACATTTTATCTTAGTCATGAATACTGCTTTCTGCCAAACTACAAGGCGAGTAGCCTCACTGTCCTTGATCATACCTGAAGCGTGAAGCCTTGTCCAGCCGGCCCCTGCCAGCACATTCAGGATTACGAGACACGCGGGTGACACTTAGGACTCCCGGGGCGGGCCGTCGGACACCTCGCCGTGACACACCACCCAAGACCTGGCATCTTACGATGGCAGAGCTCAGAAATGGCTCCCCCCGCGGGGATTACAGCTTCTCCAAGCAGACGAAGGGATGTACAGTGGGGGGGGGTTATCTTCACTGTCTCTGTGCAAAACACACAGCTTATGGTAGACAGGCTAATGCTAGTACTTCAACTTGGGACAAAAACAGGTGCGAGTACTCCCCTTGTCATGGAACTGCAGGTGCGAGTACTCCCATTGTCATGAAATAGCAGGTGCAAGTACTCCCAGTCTCAGTGTTCATTGAGAAGTACCAGTACTTTGATGGGAAAAACAAAGAGGCGGCGGTCTGCACACCGGTGAGAACTGGCCCACTTCTAACACTGATTACTACAAACCTGCTGTTTACTTTCAACAGACCAGAAAAGGGCTGTCGCATTTGAAAGCCAGATTACATACGGCACTGGCGAGAGTCAGGGTGACACTAACTGCAACTTCATCTCACCAATTATCTCATTGTAGTTCTGCCTCCCATCTCATAAATATCAGCCAAAAGCATTTTGAGTCAAAGGTCCTGTTCATTGCATTGTACAATAGACTTCTTTTCACAAAGAACAACCAGTTCTCTTATTGCTGACTGAGTGCCTAACCAGATCTCTACATGCATTTCCCTGAAAACAAACTCCAGTTAAGACACCTTTAGAAGGGAAAATTAAAGGTAAATACTGACAACAACCCTGGCCAACTAGAAAACAAAACAAGAAATAGGCTTTAACTTTTATTAACTATACATACATTCAACTGGCACGGTAAAGCATATCATTAAAGACATTTCTCTTTAGTCTAAACTCATCCATCTGTTGTCTTTTCTGATAATCCAAGTAAGTGTCATAGTATAGTAATTTGTGCTAAAGTTAATCCAGGATATATTACAAGTTGGGGGGAAAAAGTCTGCTATTTCTACGGAAATTTAGGTAAACAAAAACCGGGTTTTGCTCTTAAAGCAGCGCCGTCTCTATGTGCCTTGAGAATCAGAAAGTGCCAAAAAAACTGTATAATAGGTCTGATCGGAGAAATCTTAACAATGGCACATTATTTAACAAGTCAGAAAGATAAATAATAATGCAGTGTTCCCTATCTCCATCATTCTTCTAGGTCAGTGCTGCCTGAGCACAGGAAATTAAGATGGTATTCATTAAAAAACAGAAAGTATAGTTCTCATTACTCATAGTTTTGAAAGCACTCATTACTCTGTTTGCTGCAGAAGGCGAGCATTAGAATAATTAAATGTAGAGTTTAAGGATGACACAGAGGGGGCAGATTAAGTTCTCCGCCACGGTGCTGGTCAGTCCTGTAAGGCGCCAATTTCTGGAGGAATGCCACCTTGCCAGCCAGTTTCACTTTACCTTGGACAGGGGGTGCCACACTGGCAAGGACCAGTACTGGGGGTGGTGGTATAACTTGCTGGGTTGGATTGAGAGCTTGGAAGGTGCTGGTGGATTGATTGGCCAGTTTGGATCAGGGGGACCTGATTCTTTCTGTAGGGGTCCTAGGCTATGGCCTATCATTAATCCTTCCCTGAGGACAAGGCAACATGTTTGAGTTAGGGGTGGGCCAGGGAATTATCCTATTTTTATTGTTTAGAATTGTGTTTTTTTTTTAAGAGAACTGTTTACATGCATGATTCAACAGTTGAACCGCTGCCACGGTGCACATGTTACTTCCAGCAGAGGACAAAAGGCCAGCCATCCAAAATCTAATTGGAACAACCTGGGTTTTCAAAACAGGGAAATCTACCGGGAAAGTATTGGAAGTGCCCTTCGTTTAATTTTTAGAAACACTAATCAGAGACTGAAAAGCACCGTGCCATAAAATCGCTGCCCGGCTCCGATCGTATCCCTCACTGTGATCCAATTTGTTAACCACCAGTCCGAGCGTCTAGCAGTTTACAAAACAAGTTGTACCGTTTTTGGGTTAACTGCATGCTTTTCTTAAACCGTCTTTTTAGGTGAGAAGACACAGATACATGGCGTAGCGGCTGCCCCCTTTGTTTCAGCGGAGAGTCCTTCAATTCCTGCGGTACAAAGGCAGGGAGGCGGGGAACCGCACCGCACCGGGGAGGCCGGCGACAGAACAAAGCATGTGCGCTTCTGGCATCTTAAAGGCAGACAATAACCCCTCCATGACTAACGGCATGATAGAAACGTAATATAAAGGAAAGGCCACATTATACTGCCCGCCACACCGTGTGGATTTGCACGTCGACCACGAGCGGAAAATTATTCCGATATTGATATTATCTTTAAAGCGATCGGGCATTTCGCACTCAGGATCTTGCATTAATGTGCAATCGTGGGAACTTCACAGAGATCCAGTCCTCTTAAGTAAAACCGGCAATATTTGCATAATAACGTGTCGGACAATAAAGACACCCTGGCAGAGGCGGCTGAAAAGGCGACTTTTGGCAAATAGGCTACACGCATGGTAGCGCAAGACTTTAGATGAGACTGAAGGGATAGTAAAATGACCACTTGGGTTGTGAATAATGCCGGATGGGTATCAGATGCTGGTATGGAAATGACAGAAAAAGAACTGCAGAACTAAGCAAAACGCTGGTTTACACACGTCCCGGTTTTCTTATGTCATGGGAAACTTTCACTGTATGGTTTAGAGAGTCATGAGTCGGATTCAACCAAAACAAAGTATATAACGAAGACAGAATCAAAACAAATACATTTTAACTGAAGATGCCTTACACTGGGCATACCTAACCTGGAAATCTATAATGCTGTTTAAAACGGTAGTGTCCACTGATACAAGACACATGTGTTCATATCTGACACTGTGCTAAGATTTAAGTGAAATTTGAATAGCTTAACATATGGAGTAAATCAAAATTACACGTCGATTCGCTGTTATAAAACACTAAGTAACCATAATGGTCGAACGGGAAGTCCATTGTTCATTGTACAATATAAATAGTCAGATAAGTGCTATATAGAACAATATGAAATATGTTTTATTGATTTTGAAACAATACATCAAATATGCATTGTTCTGGGCGTTTTGTGACACGGAACCCCCCACCCCCCATCAGGAACTTTTACAAGTGCATCGAGAGCGTCCAGCTACTTCAAATTTCGCTCCGAGCGCCGCCGATGAAATTTCCTAAAGTTAGCAGGCGGATCATTAGAGACATTGTTACCAAATTGAGAAAAGTAACCCTGAGGGAAACGAAAGAGGCATATGAATGGTCCTGATAAGCAGAGACACCCGCAAGCTGCCCTTACCTGACTTTCTCTGTATTTAGCGGTTCTCTGGTTCCATTCCACAAACAAAGGGATCTTCTGCTGCGCCAGTACTTGCTGCCGTTTCAGCGCACGAAGGACGGGGAGCTCCGCCCGCCTGCTAAAATATCGGCTTTCCGCAGCTTTCTCTGTCCTATATTTTAGGCAGAATAAGGTCGGCTTTGTCCAAATTCCGCCCAGCGCAGCAGATAGGCGTCTTCCTTTACACTCCCCATAAAGTGTTAACTAGTCCCCCCCAGGTCTTAGAGTACGTAGAGTGCAATTTAACTCCTTATCAATGATCTTCAGCTAAAATGGGAAAGAAAGAAAATAAACGCTTATCGTCCCTGACAATATGCCTAAAAAGATGCGTGTGGACTAACACGTTATCCAAGCAATATTATATATTATCTTGTAATATAAAGCAACAGCATTTTGCTTGAAGCGCTTTGACATCTAAAGTGTGCACTAGCTACTATTATACAACATTATCAATAGACTATAACGAATAGGCTTAGTCGATACTGTGTATTTAGCTGTTGTGTGATTCTCAATACAGCTGGTATGAGCTGGTTTCAGCTCATCCGAATGTTACAAAAACGTAATATCAATCTGTCCGCACCCTCCAAGCACACAGAAGAACCAAACACAAATCACAAGTATAGAGTGACTACTAGGATCTTTTAGCACAAGACTTGATTATCTTTTTTTAGTGACAGAATTCTTTTCATGCATACTTTTATGGACTCGATCTCAAAGGGCACGGAAAGTGAGCTTGTCCACTGAGACGGGCATCACCTGCTCAAGGTGAAACACGGGTAGATTCCACGTGCCCCAGTGACGTTTCATTTGGGCACCTCAGGGATCCATGTCATCCCGCAGAAATGCACACTCACCATGTTCGGTGGAGTTTTTCATTGTACGGTGCCTGCGTCCCCTAAACAGTTATACTGATCGCAGCCCCTGGGTTGGATCAGACCATTTATACGGATTTAGTATTTTAAAAAGAGCCAAGTATCTGTAGAAATATTTTATTATCAGTCCATTTTCTGTACCTGCTTGTCCTATTCAGGGTTGTAGGGGTCTGGAGTCTGTACCAGAAGCTATGGGTATAAATCAGGGAATAACCCATGATGGTTACACACATGGACAGGTCACCTTATATTTCTGGACTGTGGGGGGCACCAGAAAACCTGGAGGAAACCCTGCAATGACACAGGGAACAAAGAACACACAAGTCAGGGCGGGGACTCAAACCCTGGTCCCAGAGGCAACAGTGCTAACCACTGTGCCCCAAGTATAATATGATAAAGAGTGATATTAAGTTACTAATTTAATCTGGTGATCCTCATTACTTGTTTAATAGGAACTGAAGACATTAGTTCGGTTCTATTAAATGACATAATATTCATTTGTTGGCACAGGAAGTGATGTCACAGGAAGTCTGCTAAACTAACTAGGCAGATTATGCCAAAGAAAGCTACTTGTTCTTTCTGCATTAGTACCTCGTGCACAGTTGGTGGAAATTTTGTGTTGGGGACCCCTGAGATAAGGCACATAATTTGGGATGAAACGCAAATAAATATATTGAAATATTCAAATTGTTTTCACTCAGCAAATTGGCACAAAAAATGCAGCAATGTAATACCATCGAAAGACGTGTAAGAAAGACACGATGTGGGTACAGAGTAAACAAGAAAAGCAATGAATAATTTTGAAATGTTTATTAACTAAAACAGCCTAAGGTTGCAGTAATCACACTTTGACGAATGATGCTGGTGCGTTCAAAGTGTTACGACATATGTCAGATTTGTTATCACAGGAAATGACAGATGACGTGATTTTACCGGTGAACATTACGAAACGTTTCCTGTAGCAGACTAATGTGCAGACAGTGTATCAGGACCACACAGCATGTCCTGCATTTGGAAAGCCTGCAATTAGGGCTGACTACCTTTTCAGGGGCCCTAGGCGAGCCCCCCCCCCCACACACACACACACCCACCATTAAGAAAATTGATGATTTCCTTTACAATGCAATCTGGGAGCCCTATGAAACTGCCTATTCTGCCTGGCCTACAATTCATGAAGGTCTGTGTTCATACAGTTTTTTCCGGTTATCGATTGTAAAACTGCTGGTGAATAATCCAGGACACATGTGTGAGAGGGTGGGCGTGTCAGCGTTCACAACAGATTTTAATTTCAGGATTTAATTTACCGGTTTCATCCATAAGCCGTGACCCTCAGCCGGTGTACAGACTAAATCCCCTGAATAAAAGTGAATCATAGCTACAGACCTGTCTGACCCAGCAGACCGTTAAAGAAACATTAACATTTTTTTTGTTAATATTTCTCATACAAACATTGGAGCTATTTGTTATACATCACGCTGCTGCAATTATCGCAGTCATGATCAGGGGTGTACCTAGAATATTCCAGCCCCCTGCTAAAATGTCACCTTGGACACCTCCAATTTTATGTATATATTTATGTATTCAAAGGCTCCTGTCAAGTGCTGGGCTCCCCGGATCCACCAGTGTATCCATGTTCCTCCGAAGGAGATTGACTGTATTTCTGAGGTCTTTAGCTTAGCATCTCAATGCCTGGAATAGCAAACCCCCCCCCCCCCCCTTGGGTCTGTGCTGCCTGCCATAGACCCTGCCAGGTTATCTGGTGGGTAATCAAATATACACACCTCCAGAGTGGACTGGTTCACTCATGTCTCAGCCTGCAATACAGGCTTCAATTGGAGCCGGACTGCATTGTTAATTTGCCTGGTGTTGCTAATCTAAGCCTGTTATGGGTTTCAGGAGCGAGCAAAGGCAAACATCCCATAATGTTAACCAAGTTAATTAGAAAGAAATCCAGAATGTAAATGCAGTCACATAGGTAGCTAATACAGATGGCTGCAGAGGGAGGGCGCAGAGATGTCTTCTGTTTTGGGAAACTTGGTGCTGCTCCACTGGGAATAGATCCACCATTCATTTTGACAGAATGCCACCCTCATTCAGGGGATGCAGTTTCCATCCATGCATCCATCCATCCATGCAACCATTTTCTGTATCCACTTGACCTATTCAGGGTCGGGGGGGGGGTGGGGGGGTGGTTGCTACAGGTACAAAGAAGGGATCAACCCGGGATGGGGTGGGCGCCAGTCCATCACAGGGGGCGCACTTTATATGTTGTATGTAGACCATAAAGCCTCTCTCAGAATTGCATGCAACCACTGTCCTTTTGCATTTGGATAATTGAAAAGTCATCAGTAGAATTTTGTGTTAAAAAAAAAAAAACAATAAATTACAAAAATGTACAGCCACTTTTATTTTACTGACCTTATATCCTCCTGTAGCATTTGCCTAGTAGATTTACTTATGTCAATCTCTCTCACTCATTCTAGATAAGGAAAACATTTTAATATTTTAAACACTCTAGGGTACGTTCAAGCACCACATCATTGCATTTGAAGTCATCGTTAAAGCGAGGTGAAAATGCTTCACTGCTGAACAGTGGTAAGTTGTATACAAATGGCGGAATCCTGTTAATGAAACATGATCTTCCACCTAGTTTAGAAATGTTCTCAGTTCCTTCCTGTTTACAAGGTCACTGGAATCACTAAAAGTGCCAGAAGAACAGTTCATTAAACCCAAAAAAGCAAAACATCTGAAACAGAAAAGTAAGATCAGCCGTTACTTATTGTTAACCCTACTGAATACGTACTTTGCTTCGTTACCACCAGACAGATTTGAGTAGGTATATTTTCCACAGTTTCTCTTATTAAAAACACCTTTGAGGTCAGAGATAATACAGTGCACAGGCTAGAAAACTGTGAAAACTATGAACTTTCTTGTTTATAATAGCTCTGCGAATAATGCAAATAGAAAAATAAAAGCTTTAACTGTCCCCTGTGACTGCTGATGGGGAGAAACAACTGCAAGCCAAAGGAGATACTTCTCTGGGTCACTTCTGAATCTGGTTAAAGGGAGAGAGAGAAAAAGACAGAGAGATAGAAGAGACAGAGGACTCCTGTAGGACAGATTCTCCAAAGAAAACTCATCCTATTCAGCGAAGGTTCTTTCCTCAAGAGTTGCCCAGTGGCTCCAGTGTGTCTGCAAATCTCCCAGCATGCCCCAGTCCCCAGATAAGGGTGAGCAGATGGATGGTTGTGATTCGTGTCGTGGTGATGTCAGACGTTGGTGACTTCGATGCCCGAGTAGCTGTGCATGGGGCTGCCCTCTGACCGGGGCGAGGCCTCCCCCCGGCTCTCCCGGGGCAGGGAGCCGCAGCTTCCATGGAAACTGACATCCCGTCCACCATGGCCTTTGGTGCCGTACCCTACAGGCGGCTGGAGAGCAACGAATGCGTTAATAAATGGCAGCACAGAGGAGTGGGAGGAGTTAACCTTCAGCGGGTAGTGGGGGCCGACCTTGCAAGCGCGCCTTCTCAGCGAAGCCTCGTCTTCCGAGCGCCGGCCGCTGGATGCCGGCGAACGGGACAGGGAGCTCTGCCGCAGGAGGGTGGGCGTGCCCAGACGTTCACAGTCCACCTGTAGCCCCACCCTACGGGAAAGGAAGCCCAGGATTGGCCATGAAGCTTCTCACGATGCATAAATGCAAATGCAAGACTCCCCTGGCGTTAACAAGTGGAGATCTGAGAAAAGGGGTAGTTTTCAGAGTCTCATTGCCGCCCCCCCCCCTTCCCAATCACTGCTTGGTTTAACCCGATGGAAATCTGAGAAGTAACCAATGAGAAACGGGCTAAACCAATCAATGACTGACTGTAACTTTCAGAGTCTCATTTTCTCCCATCACTGCTGACAAGTCAGGAGATCGATTCTGTATGACAGCAGTAGTAAATTGTACTGCTAAATTTTGCTTAAATGAGGCCAAATTCCGAAAGCGTATTGATCTGTTACAGTTGTGTGCAGCCAAATCACTTCATCCATCGGCACATGACAGCAGTGAGAAGTTGCCTGCAAGATGTAGCTCCAGTGAACTCCAGTTAAGAATGGCAGTGACAGGGGGAATCAGCTTCCTTGGTAGTTAAGTGTTCATTCCAGCCAATTACCTCACACCACGTTGGAGGGCTTCTAGAAGCCTGGTTTAAATGTCATGTCCTGTACCTGGCGTCACTGATCAGTGCCTTCAACTCCTCCTTAAGGTGCCGGCGAATCATGTGCTTGTTGCTGGGGATGCCTAGCGCGGTTGCCATGGCGTCAGTGTTGAAGGATGGGTCCAGCACCATCACGGCGCCATGAACACCACTGTTCTGGAGGCTGTCGGCAAACTCCTACAGCCCAGGAGAGAAGGACTTCACACAATCATCTGACATCTCAAACGCTGCGCAACAGAATCGTCACTGCCAAACCCTGTGGATAAACCAATCAAATGCCCCATCTCTCTGAACATCCCAGTGCCAGGAATGTAATCAGCCATGTAGCTCTAGCCAAATTAGTAACCTGCTCCATCAAGAAATATCGACTTCTGTCCTCTATCAACACACATCTTCTGTAATTTCGTCTACAGATGAAGTGTAGCCTGTCGAGATGGACTCCTACACAAACAGATCCAGAATCTGTGGATTCTCGCGTCATTCAACTCAATTCCAATAAATCTGAGGCTTGTAAGCAGAGGTTTCTAGAAGCAGAGGTACGGATCGCTGTGTGTTGGTATGGAAACGCTCATGCTGGCAGTGGCCGGAATTCTTAATAGGCTTGGACCCCTTTGAGGGGAGTCACACCTGTGGGTCCCCACTGGGATATGAAATAGGGTCTCAGAGGTGCAGTGAAGTGCAATGCTGTAAAACAGCTGACTCAGAACAGGTATTGGTTTTTGTTTGATAAGCTGACTGGTTTTTATTATTGAAACAGAGGAGGCATATAACGCCCCATTATGCAGCTCCATTAAAACTCCATGAGCTGCACACAGGCTTCAGCTGGACAGCCACAGCCATCCTCACCTTCAGATCGATGTCTCGGACCCATTTCATCACTCGGTGACTGGTCCACACCAGAGGGTCCAGGTTCTGGTGCTCGCACAGGGCTCGTCTGGCCTGCAGGGTCTGCAGAAGTACGATATGCACTAATTAACAGGGCCGGCCCGCCCTCTGGGCAGCATTGGCGATCGCCTAGGGCGCCACTTCTATAGGGGACGCAAACAAGTTAGGGGGAAAAAAATCACAAGAAATACGGCTGGCTGCATTCATTGACATTGCAGTTATTTATACACGTTTTAATATTTCACATTTTTCTTGGGAATCAGATGGTAGCTAGCTATTTAGCAGCCAGATACTCTGTCTTAGTGAAATGTTTTTAATATGAATTAATTTACAGAATTTGTTTTCTACTGCTCTGGGGGTTGGGGGGGGGGGAGTGGGCAGGCTCACTCTTGCCAAAATACATGGAAGGTAACTAGGAAGATTTATGGTCTGATGTTAGTGTGGCTGGCCTACTTATACCTGTGTGTGTGCGTGTGTGCGTGTGTGTAGCAGTGACAGTTCTTTTATTTACTTATTGTATATTTGTTGTGTTTGCTCACTGCTGATAATCATGACCAATTACCAAAGGTACAACAGCAGTTCCCATTATCCAAACATGAAAACTTCTTTGTGTATCACTTGTTCCTGCAGAAAGTTATTTGGTGGCTAGAGAAGTACCAAAAAATGAGTGTGAGATTATGTTGGGGCGTGTTGGGGCAGTTCTGTGGATCTGAGTGTGGTGGGGAGGGTGGGGGCTACTGTTGCCTGGTGACAGCAAGCCTGACCTCCTTGTCAAAGTTGAGGGCATGCAGCAGCTCGATGCCCAGCAGCAGGCTGATCTGGTGAAACTTCTTAGTCACGTTAAGGAAGCGCTCCAGGTCCCGGCGAGTGAGGGAGTTCAGCATGCGCCCGTCCACCAGCTGGTTATGGAAGGACTGGGAGTACTGGAGCAGCCCCACGTCGCTCAGCCAGGCCTTGGCCACCCAGTGGTGGTCCATATCTGCAGCCTTGGATAACCTGAGATGAACCCGCAAAGCACAAAAACAAGACAGAAAGACAGAATCACCGCGCAGTGTCACAAAAGCCTCATTGTATTTGTCTCTGCGACCGGAATCCCTGCAGAGCAGCCTCGGTATAAACGTGACCCGATATAACCATCATGACTCCCCAAAAATATTGTGCGAATTGGACCGTATGTAAGTCGAGCTCTTATGTAAGTACACTAGAGGCATCGATAACCGGAGTCAAATTATCAGTGTGCGCGAATATACCGGCCAACGCACCTTGTTGTGATTCTGAAATCGTTGTATTGAAGAACTTCAAGATCTTGTCATTATTGCTACGTTCAGTTCGCTGGTGAATTATTGATGACTGCAAATTAAGCTAACTACACAGTAATTTGACACGCTGTATTTAAAATGAAGAAACGTCTAAGTACATTTCAAGATATTACAATGTTTTAATACTTTAGAAATAACGCGACCTGAAGCTGCACTGTGCATGAATTGAAAACGTGCATATCTATATTAGTCCAGCAGATGGCACTCACGGTCAACCTGTAAAAATAATCCATGAACAGAAAAGGAGTCCTCATTTGTGGGCTTCTAATTGGACCGTATTGCGATCAGAGAGAATAGGGAAAGAGAGCAAGGCAGTGGGGAGAAGATTTAACATAAAAGATTTTATATTTAATTAATATGATGCGCGTTCATTTAATGTCATTTTACTAATGCACCTGCCGTCTTCGAGGTAAATTGTACACCTATGAAAAGTCTGAGAATCCGAAGTCTGGTGAGAAAGATGGAGTGAGACAATATGCGTGATTGCTGTCTGTCGAAACAGATTTTTATAAACTATATGGCAAAAATCTGTATTTAAAAAAATAATTGATTACCTTAGAATCATTACAACATTATTTGTAGGTTATAATGGGGTTAGGAATAATTAATAATTCGTCTCATTTAATGGAGTCCAAGTCCTCAGAGTTTAGCGGTGCGAAAGCCGGCTCACCCCTGCCCCGCCTCCGCTTCACGGTAGTCCTCGATGGCGAGCCGCAGCTTCCGGCGGTGCATGGCGCTGCTGACTCCCAGTCCGAGCTCCAGGTCCTCGTCTGTAAGGCTGAGCAGCACCTGCAGGATGACAGCCGGTGACTGGCTCACCTCGGCCGCCCAGCCCGCTTCCAGGCTCCTTTACTCAGTCTTCACGGCTCGCGGTCTATTTACCCGTTTTTACAAATCAGGTTCCCCCACATGTTAACGGTAAAATCAAAGTTAGTTTATTGGGAGTTCAACCTGCAAAGTTCTTTTAAATAACCTTACTCCATTCAGTTAATACTGGTGATTAATTACATAGCTGGGTTTATATTACTTTGAAGAAGTAAGAGACAACTACTATGTCCCTGAGGTCAACCTGTACTACTGTGCAGTCACAGGCTAATGCAGTTAAGTTTTAAGTGTTAACCATAAATTCTCCATCCTAAGATGCTCATTGAGCCTCACCTTGCCACTCTTGACGTTCTCCGAGCATGCGCGGATGTACATGGGCATCGCCATGACGACCTCCAGCCAGGCCTGCACAGTGCCCGCCTTCCACAGTGACATGGGCGTGCTCCTCGCTAGCTCCACCTGCTGGAGGCGGTCCAGCTGGTCCTCACCGTCCGATAGGCTGAGACTGAGGTGAGTGGGGCTGGACAGACTGTCTGAGTCTAGATTGGTCAAGGGAGGGGGGGGGAGGAGAGAGAAAGAGGAGGGGAGGTGTTTTTTTGGGGGGGCAGGGTGGGGGTGAGAGGAATCACAGGAGCAATGTGGACCATTTCAGCCAATGAAATGAAAGAGCCCCCCCCTTAAACTTTAGGAGTAGTTGCTTCAGGGAACATTTTATTACCAAGGATATGAATCATCTCCCTGCTCCACTTGACAAAACTGTCCATGTCTCGCGCATCTAATTTCATATGCAATCTGCTATTAAAACGAACCCCGAGAAACAAGGCGCGGGGAGGCGAGAGGCAATGCCGACACCATCAGCGACGCCACGGCTGAGGAACTCCATCATCCTCTCACATGGACGCCAGTGCCATAAATCCACCCTCAGAAGCGCCTCCTCGATGCCCCGCTGCCTCAGCAGATCTCAATCTATCCTTCGGTTTATTACAAACAGGCACAAAACTTTACCCTCTATGAAGGGGCCTCTCACTATTTTTCCAGAGGGCCAAATTCCATAAGGGGGGGTGGGGGGGGGGTGCGAGGGGGGAGAGGGTACAAGACCGGAATTGGCCAGTTGGTGACCACTGGTCTATAAGCAATGCTGCATGTGCCCCTTTACAGAGGGTAAACTTATTATTTCTATCCATTTTCAATAACTGTTAGCACAGTTCAGGTGTAGAGCTTATCCCAAGAGGCAAGGGGATTAAGATGGTAAAACACTGAATATGATACTCACACACATACATGTTAGGGGCAAAGCTGAGATCAAAAAGCCGGTCTTTGGATTGTGTGAAGAAACCTGCATTAAACAGAGCAACTTAGCTACAGACAAGAAGGTGCAACGTTTCAATCCAGTGGCCTGATTTGAACCAACTGCTCTGGAGGTGTGAGATTAGGACTCTGCCCACTGAGCCCCAGCACCATCGCGGTTCACTACCTACTTTCTAAAAGTTTCATAAATGCATTTATACATCTCTTCCCACCCTGAGCACAGAAGGGCGTCATGCCGTCTGAGCACTAAGCTAATGAGCCACTAGAGTGGAGATTATGAAAGCCCACCCAGTCTCACAGTTACTTCACACTGAATCCCAGTGATTAAACCCTCAGGTTCCCTGTGCTGTTTTGTATTAGCAATTCTAAATCCAATATGGCCACTAGTGCACCCTGAGGAAAGATGTGTAGACAAAATGGAAAAAAACATCTAATAACTTAGATGAGAGACTTCCTGTATAAAAAAAGATACCATCAGTGCGTACCAATTGAATGTACAGGCAGTAGTGTATACTCATATCTCTATACTCTCCCTTGTATATACAACTGTCTGTAAATTCAATTCCATATATACTGTATATATATTATTCTCATTTGTATGTTGCCTCATTGCACCTTACTGTCTATTGCACTTTAACGTACTATTTGCACTTTCTGCTTAGATGCTAAACTACAGATTGTTGTACCTGTACAATGACAATAAAGCTCAGTTTTATCTAATCTAATCTAATCTAATCTAAAATACCAGCGACCGGGAGATGTGTAAAAATGTTATGGTGTCCAGTCACTTCCAGTCACATAAGCTGTGAAAAAACAAACAGGGTGTGAGGCTCAGAAGAGGAGGATAAGGAGGAGACATCGAGGAACTGTCCAGAACGACGTCTGACGTGTCTGATTAACGGAAAGGCCTGATTAACCGAGCTGATACTGCACTCATCCTGATCCCTCTTTCTCTCATTTACTTAGTGGCCTCATGGGGAAAAAATGAATGACAGTGTAGGACTGATGTCTTTCACAAAAACAATATGATGCACATATAGCACAGTGTTCCACCAACAGTTGGATGATGCTCAGTGCAGATCATCATAAAGACACTGATACTTTTAAACAGAGACAAAATTAATGAGGATAAATACACTGAGATCCTTTGAATATCAAGTACTATTAGGTTATAAAATTCAAGCAGCTTCTTGTATCCAGCAGGTGACGTGTTGTTAATGAGCTCAGCAAAACATCACCCAGAAAGGCTGTGACAGTATCTCAACATGATGGCTATTTCTAACATCATTGTCCCCCACTGGGGATGTTCATTGACAGCACAGGGCAGGATGACTAACAGAATGATTAAACAATAGATTGTATTCAACCTCAATTCACAAAGACTCAGCAGAAGACATCTCTGGCTGATACTTCATTGAACTAAAACATCCAACAGCTCTGCATCCCAATAGCAGATTTATTGAGCTGAAAAGACAAAGTTTGGGTCTCAGTTGATGTTTGCCTGGCCTATAGTGGTCAAAGCTCACTACAGACAAAAGACAGCCATCAGGGTTGAAACGTGGGCTTCATGTTTTGTGCAATGCGCATTATGTGAGCTGTTGAATACATTTAGCTGAGTCTCTTGTGCAATAATTATATGCAGTTGATTATCTGACACATCCAATTGTTACCCATTTCTATAGCATGCTGTTTTGCTAGAACAATTCAATGAAATATCTCGCTTAAGGACCTATCCTGCTGTCTACAGATCTAGTTCCCCCGGTTCTGTCCTTTCTGTTGTAGGATATTGACAGGCTTGAGACAGACTGTCAAGCCTGATCTATGGGTCATTGTCATTCTGAACACAGTTCCATAGATACATTCTCCCCTGGCACTCGTATTTACAAGTCAGTAATAGTGGGAGACCAATTTCTCAACTTTTCCCCGTCTGCATTCACACCACTGAGACCTGGAAGGCTTACAAAGAAGCCAAGCCTGCAGAACTGGATGCCTTAATAAAACAGAGTGAGCGGTAAAATTCATGTGCATCAAACCGTCGACACCATAGACTTTGACATCTGTTGGATGGGCGAGCCGTAAGCTGCTCCTGAAAGATGTACAGTACAGCAGGTAGCCCATCTAAGGACTTGAAAAGTCAGCCGTCTGTTGCAGCATGTACACAGATCAGCTTGCTTGCATCACTTTGTGATGAATCACTGCTGTTAGATCACACAACCATACACCCCTCTGTCAGATAAGATGTGACAATTGATTATTTGGCATTATACCTTCAAGCTAAAGCAAGACATATGAAAGCTATATCGACTGGGCTCTCAGCCTATATTCCATTAGGTGATGGCCAATTTGGCTGGCATCTCCAAATTATTAGGCCTATAGGATGCATTCATCCTGCCATCTTCTAACAGCTTATTCTGTGCAGGAGCTTATCTGAGAGAGTACAGGGCGTGGGGTATGGGTACAGGGCGTGGGGTATGGGTACAGGGCGTGAGGTATGGGTACAGGGCGTGAGGTATGGGTACAGGGCGCGGGGTATGGGTACAGGGCGCGGGGTATGGGTACAGGGCGTGAGGTATGGGTACAGGGCGCAGGGTATGGGTACAGGGCGTGGGGTATTTTGTACATCCTGAATGGGATACCGCGCAGAACCGCACATGTTGGGTACCAGTTAGAGACACCAGGGAGAACCCTGTGTGAAATTGGGAGGGCATGACCTCTCAACCCCTGGAGATGTGGGCTACCACGCTGCCGCTCTGAGGAACATTCCAGAAAAACTACTACTAGAGAGCAGCAGCTGTGCCCATTGTTCGATGGAAATTTCCCATTTCCAAAAGCGTGTCAGCCAATCATCTGCCAAATGGAAATATGAAACACACGTTGCTTCAGCACATGGAACACATGGGCAGGTTTAAATGTCAACAGGACTGAAATCTCAAATTAAATAATAAATCCGAAAGAAGCCAGTTCATAAATGAACGGTTGCAAAGCGTGAAAAGTTGTGAAACTCGAAGAAAGCTCTGAGTCACGCTCCTGCTTGACAAATGTGTTCACATGCCCCTTTATCAAAAATATATTTATGTTTGTAGTATCACAGCTCAGACATTTTTAATGTCATAAGGGATAAGAGAGAAGCTTCATTTTGTGGAATTGATTCATAGAGCTATATTATTCACTTTCAGTAGGTATCACTCAGCAGATTTACCGATATTTTCATAATCCTATGAATAATGTGAAAGTTCTCCCATCTCTATGAGGCAAGAAAACTACATAATAAGCTCTGGAGAATCTCTCCTGTATGAGCGCCACAATCAAAGGTACGATAGGTTAATTATAAAGCAAGGATGTTTGTTTACTTATTTTAAATGAGATTAATTGGTTGCCTAGCAGCAGAATCGTGGATTCACAGACCTCCCACCTCTGTTTGTTTTTACATTCTTCCTGTCCCATGCATACGGTTTTTCTTAGAATAAAACTGTCAGTGTGCAGCAGTTCCATCTCCAGCTGGAACGGCTACTCTACCACGCGGTGTCCTTGGTAACAATAAGGCCTTCAAGGTAATGCATCTTTGTCATCAGCGACTGATTGACTGAGTTTGAAATCAACTGTTGACTTTTCTGGGACTCGAAAGTTCCATCCCAGGGGGCTCTCTGCCTTTAAAGAATCTGGAACAGGCTGCGGATACAGCATTAAGAGTAACAGAAGCGGAACAGCAGAAGCGAGCCAGGAGTAACATAAATAAAATGATTGATCAGACTGAGCCGGAACATGGACAAACAGCCACGACAGAGTTTAAGACACAGTTTGTTTCAGCTTGTTACGCAGTGAATAGTCTGCGCCGAGGTACATGGACCATGAATTATGAAGAAGCATCTACACAACACATCTACAATCTCTGGCTGGCCTGGTGAGAATATTTCCCTCCTTTGTTGTTATGGTTACAAAGCAGAAAACAGAGGCGCTTTCTTCGCTAACAGCATGTCGCCTAATAGTTTTCTTTATACATTCAATCAATTCGCACACAATGGCAGAGAGATCCAGCACTATTTGAAACGATCCTCCTGGGTTCTTTTCATAGAACCAGCCCCTCTACACCTTTCCGGTGGTTAAGTGGAGACCGCTGTGAACAGGTACACGTATGATTAATGGAACATGGAAGAGAGAGAGGATATCTGTTCGAGGCAGGTTTTGGCCTAGGTGCCGATCCATCTGGGCCACTTGAATGAGCCAAAATCCC